AAAAAACTCAAGTCCTTTTAGAGTCTAATGACAACATATTGATACATTTTTATAAGGTGCAAAAAACCCCCGGGAAATGTTACTATGACAGTTTTCAGTTTTCTAAACCACAGCAGAAAGGGCTATGGTTTAGAAGAGTTAAAATGCGTGTTCTTTACTTTTTCCAAAACCAAAACACACCAAAATATAAACAAGTACCCAGAAAAAAGTCATAAAATTTCAACTTCTGGGGTTTTGTTTTGAATACACTAATTAGCATATTAAAGTGAGTGAAGGTCAGTTGACCGCTAGGGGCGCTCCTAGTGTTAAGGATGTATATGTAAACAGTATTGTCCGATTAACATTTAATGGTGTTGATTGATAGATATGTAGTTGTTTATTGAGCGTGGCTAGCTCGGCTGGCTAGCTTCTCTCGTTGTACTTGCAAAGTAATGGCAGTATTTTACACACCTGAATTACAAACAGAGATTGCATTGTCAAAGGGCAGAGGTCATTATTGATTTGAGAGTTCTGTTATCAAGAAAAAATGATCGGTTGAATTACATTCAAGAAAAAAGTCATAAAAAATGATCGGTTGAATTACATTCAGAAAAAAGTCATAAAATTTCAACTTCTGGGGTTTTGTTTTGAATACACTAATTAGCATATTAAAGTGAGTGAAGGTCAGTTGACCGCTAGGGGCGCTCCTAGTGTTAAGGATGTATATGTAAACAGTATTGTCCGATTAACATTTAATGGTGTTGATTGATAGATATGTAGTTGTTTATTGAGCGTGGCTAGCTCGGCTGGCTAGCTTCTCTCGTTGTACTTGCAAAGTAATGGCAGTATTTTACACACCTGAATTACAAACAGAGATTGCATTGTCAAAGGGCAGAGGTCATTATTGATTTGAGAGTTCTGTTATCAAGAAAAAATGATCGGTTGAATTACATTCAAGTCAATGGAGTGTTCTACTCCTGCTGTGAGGAGCTGTATAATAAATCATAATTAAATATTCAAATATATTCTAACGTTCTAATGAATACATTTTGATGCGAAACTAGCAGTATTCTTTTACCTATATATTGTGTTACCATTATTATTACCATTTCATCAGTGATTGTTGTACAGCTTACAAGAGGTTGTGCTAATGCTAATGTTAGCATACATGTCAGATCGCAAATTGAGCTAGATGGCTCTGTGTTATGAGAGCGTAGGAGAAATGAGAAAACATTGAGCGAGTTGGGGGGCGGTGCTAAACATTCAAACCTTGCAGAAACGGGTATAGCGCCTTTAAGAAGCTCTTCTGATGACAGAGAGCATGAGGCCTAGCAAGATGGCGCCGTGTCAGGGCGCCGCAGTGAACGCTCTGGTGCGCACAATCTGTGTTTTGTTGTTTTTCGTCTGGGATTCACTTGCCACAGTGAAATATGATCGGCAAACACTTCTGCACATTCGGAACCACGCGGGTGACGGGTCACTCGTTTTACCTGAACTGAGGTGCACAAACTTCCTCGAGTGTCCCACTTGAGAGGCTGGTGGAGCACGGCAGGCTAGCCGCGGCGGTGGCCGCCAACAGAGCGAGGGGACTGGGCGTCTCCGGCGTTCTCTCCGCGGTGTGGAGCTGGGCACCTCGAGTCGGCGAAGGAGGCGCAGACACCGGGGAAGGCGAGTCTGCTCGTTCGTAGCCGCTCCTCCAGGACCCCTTTGCCCTCCATCTACCTGGCCAACGTCCAGTCTCTGCCCAACAAGACGGACGAGCTCCTGTGTTGGGTCCAGAGCCAGCGCGAGGCCCGGGACTGCGCTGTAGTTCTGCCTCAGCGAGACGTGGCTCCACTCGAACGTGTGGCTCAAATGGCATGCTCTCCCCATTTCTTACAATATAGTCCTTTTAGCGCTGCTGTTGACTGCAGACTCACCACGCCTGTTTGCCCGGCTTGATTTTGTGTGTTCGCGCCGGGCATGCTGCCTCATCTGCTGTGACTGGTAATACTCCTCTCCCCATTCTTTCATTCACCAAAAATTAACTATGCCTCTCTAGTCCCCGATGGTGATTGCCTTGTCTGTGGTGGGCATTGTTGGGCATCATTTGTCCGTTCAATGGGGCAACAAGTATAATTTAATTTATTTATTGATTAAGACAGCCTTTAAATCCGCTGTCTGCTCATAGTGCTGCTCAGGATTGGGCAGTGGTGTGCGGCTTGGGGCCAGCCCCTCCTTAACAGCGGGCTGCTGAACGAGCGGTTGTGGTTGCAGTGGGAGCTAGTATTTTAAATTAGTATCTTCAAATTGCAAGTTTTATGATTTTTTGTTTTACCAAGTCTGAAATAAACTGAATGTACTTTAAAATGGAACCTAGTGTCCTGATTACTTTCCTGTGTGCCTTGAGGAATAGTTCCTCAACAAAAAATAGGGTGGCGTTGTTGCAACCACTACTCTCATTTAGAAGATACTCTAATTACCTAAGCTCTGGTACTAGGGACACTAGTGACAAGGAGAGGAGAAAAGAGGAGCTGACGAGCATCATCCAGGGAGAGGTTGGAGTGTTGAGACGAAACCAACCGAAACGATGGTACATTGACATTTAGGTGAGCAAACACAACATTTGTGTATGTGAGTCCCAGCCGACCGTAGCGTGCCCAAACACTGATAAAACAGAGCGGAGGAGGAGACACTGAAAGGCTTTTGCTCTGACGGTAGTACACAGTGAAATGAATGGATCTATGGAGTGGGTGGGTGACATCATGAGGCGAGGGTGTTTTACGGGAACCCAATAGTTTGCGTTCGTTCTGGTCGTTCGCTTTAAAAACCACGTATCATTTGTATATAGGTTACTATGTAAGTAAGTACGTAAGTATGTAAGTAAGCTTTATTTATATACCGCCCTTTCACAGACCAGAGTCACAAAGCGGTTTATCAATTGTTATTTTTTGGGCACTTGTCTCTCACTCACACAGAGATGGGGCGGGTCGCCGAAAGAGGCGCATGCAGACTATTGTACATATTTTTAGTGGTAGGGGAAAACGGAGGAGTACCCGGAGGAAACCTACGCAGACACAGGAGACATTGCAAACACACTCGAAAGGACCTGGTTTTTCGGCCGGATTGAACCCAGGAGCTTCTTGCTGAGAGGCGAGGTGCTCTCCACTCAGCCACGTGCAGCCCACTTGGAAACTATATTGTTTTTTCAAAAAAAAATCCTTGGTTTTGGTTTATTTAATTCTATACTTTTTTCTTCTGCGCCTAGAGCCTTAAAGGAAAGTTCACCGTTTGTAATACTGAATATGTTCTTACCTTACCTTTAGATAGTTTAATACGTACCTGTGTGATCTTAGTCGTGCGCTCTGTCATGCAAACGGAGCAAAAAACGGGAGGACAAATGCAACTCCTCTGTATACTGTGTAGCACCAAAAGGTAGCTCCCGCTAGAATGCTACAAACATCTTCCAAGTGTTCCCTATTAAATGTATATAAGTTACGTGACGTGTTACACTGCCAAAGTATAGTAACACAGAAAGTAAACTGTCGATTTTCTCAGCGGTTTAAAAACGGGTACTTATATTGTAGAGGCGTAGTAATCTGATGAGCGCTTCCGGTCCGCGCACCTAACTTTCTCTGTACTACAAGTCACGCTGCTTCATATTGACGGAGATATATCTCTATATACAGTCACGTGCCCTGCCGTTATATTCTTACCTATCTTTCTAAATACACCTCAACCACTACCCCACACTACTAAAACACTATCTCCCCCATCCTAACCCAAAATATAACACACAAATTCCTTACCCTCTACCCCACACCAAAAACTCAATTATCTAAATTACTCAAACTTTTTTCTCACAAAATTATACCCCTATCACCTCATCTTATCCAAATACCATACAAATCACTAAATCATCCTTTTCTCACCTCACCTAACTTACACCCACTAACTTAACCTTACACCAACATACCTACATACCCCTTAATCCACAACCAAACCTAATCCCTCCCCAATCATCCCCTAATATCCCAAAATCTTCCCAACTCCCCTTCCCAAACCCAAAAAAAATAAAATAAACAATTCCCCCCCCCATCTCCCTTCACCCCTAAAACCCAATTCACATATCTTTTACTTCTTACCTAAATATACTCTCCCTCCCAATTCCCCCATAACCTACCCTACCATCCCCCCCCTACAACATTACAATCCCCCCCCTTTCTACAACAAACCCATTTCCCATTCCCCCCATCCAATCAAAAAACCTAATTCCCCCCAATACAATAAAAACACATTCCTCCATTAACCACCAATACACAACAAAAACCATTCACTATCAACATAACAAAATACAAACAAAATACAAATACAAATACCCTCTACCATAACACACCCAAAATCCCAAACCTAAACAACCATAAAACATACCCTACCTTCTCTTTCCCATTTCTCTCCAAACACCAACACACACATAACATTTTCACCCTAATCCTCTACAATCCACTCTCTCTTAATTCTCCTTACACCATCCAATAAATCCCAACTCATAAATAATATAAAAAAAACCTAAAAATTATCCAACTACCCCAAAAACCACCCATTTTTAACCCCTACTCCCCCCCTACAAAAATCATCATCACTATTCCTAACAAAAACTCCAATTAAACTTTCAAACTCATACACTACCCCCACAAATATTTAAATCCCCAAAACCCCCACCACCCTCCCCAAATTCCCACAATCTACAATAAATCCCACTTATTTCTCATCTAACACCCCATCCCTATTACTTCATCTCATAACAAAATTTAATCATACAAATCATAATTCCATATAAACAACCCCTAACTCCACCAATATTAATAATCTCCCCCCCAACCCACTCACAAAATCCCCTCACCTTTCTCTATATACCCCCCTCTCAAATATATCCCCTTTATATCTCCTATCCTCAACTTCAAAATATACAAAAAATACCCCAAAAACCAACCCCCACAAAACTACCCCAAAACCCCCATACCCAACCCCCCCCAATATACCTACCAACCAACCCAAACCAAAACCAACAACAAAACCCCACAAACAAAACCCCCCCCCCAAAAAAACCCCAACACAACAACACCCCCCCAAAAACACACCCCACCAACACACCCCCCCACCACCAAACCCCACCAACAAACCAAAACAACACACACAAAAACACAAACACAAACCAAACCCCAAAAACACCCACCACACAAACCACCCACAACCCCAACAACCCCACCCCACCCCCAACCAACCCCATAACAAACCAACCCCCCCCCCCAACCAACCCCACCACCACCCCACAACCCCCACCCACAACACCCCCATCCACACCTCCCACCCAACCACCCAACAACCTCCACCCACCCCCAACCACCCTCAAACCCCAACCCCAAACCACCAACAACCCACCCAAAAACCAAAACCACAAACCCACAACCACAAACCCCACCCCAACAATCCAAATTCCACTCCCAACCAAACCCACTACACACCCCAACCCACAACCCCCCCCCCACCCACACCCACCACCAACACACCCCACAACCCCAATCCCTACCCAAACCCACAAATCCCCACAAAACACAACAACCCATACACACCCTCCCCAACCCCCACCCACCCCCCCACCCTCCAACCCCCCACCACACCCCCAAACCACACCCCAATATCCAACAAACCATTACTCCCCATATCCATACCAACCCCACACCCACCACCCTAACATTATACAATTTCTCCAAAACCACTCTTAATAACTAACACCACCTACCCCAAATCCACCTCTCAAACCAACTCCCTATTAACAATACATTTCTCTAAACTTTCTCTACCCCTCCCACCTAAAAACTATATTCATAATAAAATCACATATACATCCATTCATCTCTATTTACCCAACAATCTTCCAACAAAACTTCTATAATACTCTCCATCAATCTCTTCATACCCCCCCCCCCTTCATCCACATCCATAACAACATCCCAATCACTCTCATCTACCTCCTATAAACCAAACATCCCCACAAATCCACCTCCAAATACTCCCCATCATCTCAAATTCACAACACCTCCCCCCCCACCACCAAAACAAACCCCAAATCCAACCCAAAAAAAAACCACACTAACACCACCACTCAAACAACAACATTACATTCCCAAATACCACTAATTCAACCCATAACAAATACCCCCCTCCTCCTTTCTTTCTACAAACCCATAATTTCTCCACCCCCCCTCCACCACTCATTTCCCCACTATCCACTAAACAACACCCCCCCCTTCCACACACCCCTCAACCCTACACCTCCTACACTAATCCACCATCTATACCATAAATAAAATTATACATAATACCCCAAAATCAACTATTCACCCCTCAAACATAAACAATCTTAAAAACTAACTCCCACCTACTTCCAAACACCTATTATAATCCATAATACTACTAACTCCTCCATCAAATTACCACTCCTCCCAAAACTCAAACTCTTCATCAACCATCACAAAAATAACTTAAACTCAAAAACAAAAACCTCACTCTCCAACCAAACTACACCACTCCAAACTCCACCTCCCCCAACACCCCTAACTCACCCTTCCCAAACCCCACTCACAAAACAATACTCACATAAAATCACATCTAACACCCATCCCATATCCACACCTCCACAACAATAACACCTAATAATCTAAAAATTCCCCCCCATCCTCCCTATCAATACCCACAAACTAAACCAAACTCAACCCCATACTACACACCCATAACTCCCTCTTCCCCTACATCTCCCTCTAACACTCATCCCCCAACCACTTAAAACCATTCCCCCACCCCCTATAATACTCCAAACCCCCAACACACCCCCCCAACCCCAAACCCACAATCCTACCTATCCCCACATAACTCCTCCATTCTACACCACCAACTTAATATCAACCAAACAAACCCCCCCTACCTACCCTCCACCCCCCCACCCCACCCACACCCATCCCAACCCACCTATCCCCCTCACACACATTACAATATCCCACTCCACATAATATATACAAATATATAAATTCTCCAACATATATTAACCCCACCTATATACAAATAAAACAAACCCTTCTTTATATCTCACCCTTTCCAAATCTATTACCCATTATTATACTATACTACACTCACTTCATTACTATATCCCCATCATACACAACAACTTCCCTCTACCCTCACACATTAACCCCCCCTTTCCCCCACTATCAACATTCTCACCCCATTTTCTATTATCCCCCTCCCCAATATCCCCCCTCAATATCCAACTACTCTTTCCTCACAACAAATCTCTTCTTCCACCCCCCCCAACACACCCCCCATTTTTCCCCCCCCATACACTCCAATCCCCATATTCTCCCCAAAATTCCACATAACCTCTAAAAATCTCTTCAATCCCTACATAACTCTATTAACAAAACTTTACCCCCCACTTCCTTTTCTACAATCCTACCTACCTTCTACAAAATTCAAATCATTCTCATTATCCACCCCACCCTTCCATACCCCTACCCACACCTCTTTCCCCCCCCCCAAAAATACTTCTTTTTTCATTACCATAATCCACCCCCTCTTCCTATCCTGATCCCATATTATCAACCCTACATCAACCTCCCCACCACCACATACCCACAACTCATACCACTCCCAAACTTCCCCCATCCCCACTTACCCCCCCCTCCACCCAATATCCCATACCCCTCGCATAATTCACAAAACTTTTCTAAAAAATCCACCCAATCCTCCATTCGAACACAAATTTCCACCCTATTCACAAAAACCATCCCTAACCTTCTCTCCCCTCTCACCTCCCTTCATTTTCCTATACCAAATAATTTCCTCTCCTCCCTCCCTTACCCCCCCCACCTCCATCAAACAAAATATCACAACAACTAAACACCAAAAACATCCCCTACATAATAAACCAACACACCCACACTATCTTCCACTAAACCCCCATCACACACTTAATCTTAACATCCTAACCCCCACCCAATACCAATCCTTCTCATACAAAAAACACTAAATAACCTTTACCACCCTCCCCAGCCATTTTAGTTCCTTTTAATTTTGAGATGGCTTTATTAATTTCTTCTTCTGATATTTCTCTATTTAGTCTGTCATTTTGTTCAGTTCCTATTGATGGTAAATCCAGCTGGGAGAGAAAGTTATTTATAATTTGTGGACTCTGCGAATGTGGCTGAGTATATAACCGTTCATAGTATGCAACAAAAGATTTTTGAATATTCTTCAGGTCATGACAAATTGCTCTTCACCCTATTTACAAATCTTTCTGCCTGCTGCTTACGTATTCTCCATGCAAGAAGTTTCTTCGATTTCGGGCCATTTTCATAATAGTTTTGCTTCATAAATTTAGATTTCTTCTCCATTTGATCTTCATATAGTCTATTCAAACTAGTGATCTCCAAGCACTGCTCTCCTGCTCTGGAATATCTTTTCATTCATTGTAAACCATATTACTCTCCGCGGGAAATTGTTTCATTCATTCTTGCCTCTGTTTACATACCGCCATGCGCGGACGCGCGCGAGGCTCAGCGCGCACTCGCAGAGCAAGTACTGTGTATGGAACGTTTATACCCGGACTCTCTGATTATTATCCTGGGGGATTTTAATAAGGGAAACTTGAGCCAGGAATTACCCAAATACAGACAGTTTATCAAAAAGGAGAACACTCTGGATCACTGCTACACCACCGTGCGCGGAGCTTTTCGCGCTGTTCCCAAGCCAGCCCTCGGCTTCTCAGATCACTCCATGATACATCTGGTTCCTGCTTACAGGCAGAGACTAAAGCTCTCGAAACCTGCAGTGAGGAGCTCCAAAGTGTGGTCTGATGAAGCTGTGGAAGAGCTGCGCGCATGCATGGAATCTACAGACTGGGACCTTTTCAGAGCTGCCACAGACAGCTTGGATGAATATACGGACACTGTGACGTCATACATCCACTTCTGCGAGGATAGCATCATTCCAACAAGGACCAGGGTCATCTATAACAACGACAAACCCTGGTTCACTGCTAAACTCCGGCAGCTCAGGAAAGCAAAGGAGTCTGCTTTCAGGGAGGGGGACCGTAGCGGCTACAAAGCAGCTAAATATCAGTTCAGGAAAGAACTGAAAGCAGCCAAGTCCCGGCACAGAGAACGACTACAGGAGCAGTTTGGTAACAACGATATTGCTTCTGTCTGGAGGGGCCTACGGGAGATCACCAACTACAAACCCAAAGCCCCCCCCTGTGCTGATGACCACAAGCTAGCTGACGATCTGAACTTATTTTTCAGTCGCTTTGATGCTGCCCCTGACACCTCTCCCTCCCCCACCCCCCACTACTCTAACGACCCACCCATCAGCCCTGCCCCCAGCCTAACAATAGCCGCTAAAGAGATTAAACAACTTTCCTGAGGCTGCACCCCCGCAAAGCTCCTGGCCCGGACCACGTGTCTCCGGCCACTCTGAGACACTGCGCCAGTGAGCTTACTCCTGTGTTCACGGACATTTTCAACACCTCTCTGCAGTCCTGCCATGTCCCGGCCTGCTTCAAATCCTCCATCATTGTCCCCGTCCCGAAGAAGCCCAGGATCACAGGACTCAATGACTACAGACCTGTAGCACTTACGTCTGTCGTCATGAAGTCATTTGAACGCCTGGTTCTCTCCCATCTCAAGTCCCTCACCTCCCCCCCTCCTGGACCCCCTGCAGTTCGCCTACAGAGCCAACAGATCTGTAGACGACGCCATTAACCTGGCCCTCCACCACATCCTACAGCACCTGGACTCCCCGGGGACCTACGCCAGGGTCCTGTTCGTGGACTTCAGCTCTGCCTTCAACACAATCCTGCCATCCCTGCTCCAGGACAAGCTCTCCCAGCTCAACGTGCCCGATTCCACCTGCAGGTGGATCACTGACTTCCTGACGGACAGGAAGCAGCGAGTGCATCTGGGGAAGAATGTCTCGGACTCTCGGATTATAAATACAGGAGCCCCACAGGGCTGTGTTCTTTCTCCCCTGCTCTTCTCTCTGTACACCAACCACTGCACCTCCAGCCACGACTCCGTGAAGCTGATCAAGTTCGCGGACGACACCACCCTCATTGGACTCATCTCCAACAACGATGAGTCCGCCTACAGGAGGGAGGTGGACCGGCTGGTGTCCTGGTGCAGTGGTAACAACCTGGAGCTGAACGCCCAGAAGACAGTGGAGATGATTGTGGACTTCAGGAAGAGCATTGTCCCCCCGCCCCCACCCTCCGTGATGGACTCCCCCATCACCTCTGTGGAGTCCTTCCGTTTCCTGGGCACCACCATCACCCAGGACCTCAAGTGGGAGCCGACCATCAGCTCCCTCATCAAGAAGGCCCAGCAGAGGATGTATTTCCTGCGGCAGCTCAGGAAAGCCAAGCTGCCTGCACAGATGTTGGTGCAGTTCTACACGGCCATCATCGAGTCCATCCTCACCTCCTCCATCACTGTGTGGTTCGCTGGAGCCACAGTCAGGGACAAACAGAGACTACAGCGCATTGTGCGCTCTGCAGAGGAAGTGATCGGCCGCAGCCTTCCATCGCTGCAGGACCTGTACGTCGCCCGAGCTCGAGGCCGGGCTGGTCGTATCACAGCCGACCCCTCTCACCCTGCACATGGACTATTCCAACCACTCCCCTCAGGCAGGAGGCTGCGGTCCATCAGGACTAGAACCTCCCGCCACAAGCACAGTTTCTTCCCCTCTGCTGTTGGACTCTTGAACACTTCTTAACCTGTCCCCCCGCCCTTTTAAAGTCACTTTACTGCCCATCATACGTCACTTTACTTCACTGTACAGCTGTCACCTTACATTGTGTGCACCATGTGCACTTGTATATTGTAAATAGTAACTGTAACTCTATTTTAAATTTAAATTTATTCTTTAGAAGTGTTTTTTATTCTTATTTTTATTATTTCTTTTTGACTGTTGCACTGAGCCAAAGCAATTTCCAAGTCTGTGACCTCCCGTTATTGCCAACTTACGTTGGCAATAAAAATGATTCTGATTCTGATTCTGAAACTATGTTTTGTTTCGGCAATCTTTTTTAAAGTGACCATGTCTTTATTTTTCATATGCTCAGTTTCTAATACTTTCAATTTATCAATTGTATTTTTAATACTATTTTCTTTTTCTTTTTTCTTTAGTGAGGACCACATAATTAATTTGCCCCTCAGCACTGCCTTTAGAGCATCCCACATTATACTAGGAGAGATCTCATTGTTATTGTTATGGTCCACATAATCCTTAACCTCTCTCTCCACAAAGTCATGAAATTTTTCATCCTTAAGAAGGTTTGTATTGAGTCTCCATAGAGTGTCCTTCTTATCATTGTCTAAATGAAGTGTCAGACAAACATCTGCATGGTCAGAAACATCTCTAACCCCTATAGTACAATTTATTATTCTGTGTCTGTCTGACATTAACATAAAAAAGTAATCTAATCTTGAGTGTACTTGATGGGAATGTGAATAGAATGTATATTGTTTTTCTGATGGATAGAGGTTTCTCCATACATCAATTAATCCTAATTCGTTAAGCATTTTCTTAGTAAGATTTGCTTCTGATTGAGACTTTTTAATTTTACTGGAGGAATCATTATAGGGGGAAAGACAAACGTTCCAGTCTCCTGCACATATAAGCACGCCAGATGCTTCTGTGGCAATAAGATTAAATATTTTCTTAATAATCCCTGTGTCTTCACCTGGTGGTCTATATACATTTAACAAAGTTACTTCTTTATTGTCTATGTGACCTTTCAATAATATATAACGTCCATCTTTGTCACTTATTTGTGATGTATACTGAAAATTGACCTTATTTGGTATTAGAATAGCAACTCCTCATGAGTTTCCCTCAGTAACTGAAGAGTAGAAAATGTTATTAAAACCCAATTTACGTATCTTTTCTTGCTCTGTCGCAGAGAGATGTGTTTCTTTTCATTTTGGCAATCACTTTGCTTCTTTTTTTAGGACTATGTAGACCATTTACATTGAGGGTGACGACTGTATATTTCTGCTTATCTAACATTGTCAAAAAATAAAATATATCTTAGAAGTTGCTCTAAAAACCAAAAGTAGGTCTGCAAAAAACAACATAAAAACACATGAATATTAAACAAAGGTGACCTCCAAAAGTGAAGCAAAAGTCCACCTTCAATAACAAGAGGGAGGCCCCTGTAGAAGCAGGGGGGTGCTGCCACTCTCCGCTGCTTGTCCGCCGTGACAGCACAAAGTGAGGAAGCGTTTTCCCCGACGGTCTGTCAGCCATTAGTAGAACTCACATTACACATCTGTTGTGTTGCTCACCTAAATGTCAATGTGCCAGTCGCTTCGTTTGGTCTCGTCTAAACACCTTCAGCTTCTCCTGGATGATGCGCGTCAGCTCCTCTTTGCTCCTCTTCCTTGTCACTCGCGTGAACCCGTCTCCTCTTGCTCCGTCAGGTGACGTGACCATCTCCTCCACAGCTGCTCCGGCAACACCTGACAAAAGCCCTCTTCTTTTCAGATCCTCCGTGGCGTCCTCCGCGCTGTTGTAAACGGCGCTGTCCCCGTCTCCACCATAGAACACTCGTAGTTTAGCTGGGTATAAAGTTTGAAAGCGATAGTCATTTTCCTTGAGTGCCCTTCTCACTTATATGTATGCTTTGCGTTTGAAGATAATATAACTTGGGTAATCTTGATCGAAGTATACACGTCTTCCTTTGAATTGAATATTACCTTTACGCCACGCTGAGCGGAGCACCAACTCTTTCGTCTTAAACTCTTGGAAGTAGATCACTATGGACCTGGGGTTAGCGCCTTGTGGGGGCTTGGGGCCGAGTGAGCGGTGACATCGCTGAATGGATAAGTTTACTTCGGGGAGGGCGAGTTCCGTCTTAATAAAAGTCTCCATAAATGTTTGAACGCTTGTTCCCTCTACCTCCTCCACAATTCCATGGACTCTGATATTGTTTCTGCGTGTCCGGGACTCGATGTCAGTCAGCCTTGTTTGTAGCTCGAGCTGTAGTTGTAGCGTGTGCTCCAGTGCGTCTTTGACATCAGCACTGAACTCCTCCATGTCCGCCACTCTCTGCTCGGCTTCCTCAACTCTCTGTGTGACGCCATTTAAGTCTGCGTTGAGCCCTTCCAGTCTTCCGACAATTTCCTCTCTAAAACCGCTCACCTCAGTCTTAAGAGTGTCGATTTTATCGTTAAACTCTCTTTTGATGTCATCCTGGACGTTCTTCAGCGCTGCCAAAATGTTAGCTTGGATAGCATCCATAGTCACGTTTTCGGCTAACTTGCTAGCATCAGGATTAGCTTCAGCAATTTTTGCGGCTGTAGAACCCCCTGACATATTTATGACAACTTTTAACTCGTCTGTAGCAGCTTTTTTATCAGGGGGTTAACTGACCGTCGAGGAGCTAAGAAATTATGCTGCCGCTCGCCTCCTCACCATCCCGGAAGTCCCCCTCAGCCCTGGTTTGATCCTGGTTTAGCTCCTGTTTTGCTTGTTTTCGAGTGTGCCTGGTCACTTTGCTGCTTTCTGAGGATCGCTGCTGTGATCTGCTCGCTGCTGTGATCTGCTCGCTGCTGTGATCCGCTCGCTGCAGTGAACCGCTCGCTGCAATGAACCGCTCGCTGCAATGAACCGCTCGCTGCAGTGAACAGTTTTTAAGACAGTATGATCTATGCTTCAGTGATCAGAGGTCGTACGTTTTGTTTGTTGTTGTTGTTTTGGGAGCATGCTGTGGCGTGCAAAAATGCAAAACTCCGGTTATCTCTGTCCACACGCAAATGCATAAACGTATTTTTTTTTAATGTAATGCAATCTTCCAGTACTACCTTTGCGATCGACGTATTGAGCACCCCTGCTTTAAGCGATAGAGGTTTTTTTCTAAAACGCTTGATTTTGACATACTTTTAAAGGAGCCTTGCGGAGTTTGCAATTTTTGTGCTCACGAACCCCCCTCTGGCCAGAGGTGTAACTGCAGCCTGAATGAGAGGCGCGTGCACGAGGAACAGAACATAAACAACAGCTGATATGGTCCTGTCCTCCATAAGTTAGATTTGCGGGGATGACTTCAACAGAGGTAAGACATGTTACTGTTTTGTATGATATTTAGACCAAATCAATGTGTATATTTTCCAAGATGTGATACTTCAGCAAATGTAAAGCAAAGTGAATTATCAAAAGCCTGAAGCCACATTATATTCACACAAATGAACATTTCAAAGGGGAACAAAAAAGTGTCTATTATGTATATATAAACGTAAGCCTAACTGTAATAATACAATTCCACAGATAGAAATGCTTCCATGACAAGCCAAAATCATCTTTTCATTGGGCCTTGTAATGTTAACGTAGCATGAGACTTTTTGTAGTATATTTACTACTCATAAACATAAATCAGTGAAGTCACTCTTATTTTGCAGCCAAGACAAGCTAACATTAGCAACATTATTATTCCCATAGAAAATACAGCATAATTACCACTGTTACTGTTTTGTTTTTATTAGTGTTATTGCTGACACTAGTCTGCTACTAATACTACACAAGTTGTCTGTAGGTATAAAACTATATCAACTGTTCTGATAAATTCAAAATATTTTTCAATGAAGTTCCAGAACAGTGACATCTAAATCTTTTTGCTTTTCCTTCCAGGACTCCAGTCCAGTTGAATCTGTAGTTTCTGAGAGCAGTGACTTTGAATGGGGGAGAGGAGGAGGCAGACGAGCAGCAAGAAGAGGAGGAAGAGGAGCAGCCAGATGAGGAAGAGGAGCAGCCAGAGGAGGAAGAGGAGCAGCCAGAGGAGGAAGAGGAGCAGCCAGAGGAGGAAGAGGAGCAGCCAGAGGAGGAAGAGGAGCAGCAAGATGAGGAAGAGGAGCAGCAAGAGGAGGAAGAGGAGCAGCCAGAGGAGAGGCCAGGCTAGAATGAGAAGAGCAGGACATGTGGTTATAAAGACGCCCCTTTATTCGTTCCACAGTAGGGAATTAAAACTAAAATGCAACTCATCACCACTTTAGAAATGAGTCTTTCTTTTATTTCAATGTTTGGGGGGAAAAAAAATTATATTTGACATAATATAAATAGAGACTTGGGTGGCATCTCTGACTGCCACCCTCCTGACCCAGAAATGGATTAAAGGGTAGAAAATGGATGGATGGATGGATAATATAAATAAATGTGCTGTGTCCATCTTTGATTGCTGTCAGCCTCTGTTCAGGGACCAGATAAAAAGTCCTAGAAAAAGAAAGAAAAATATTTTATATCATAGAGATTCCCACTTGATTATCATCACTACCTGTCCTCTGTTGTGTCTGCTCCAGTTCAGCTGCAGGAGGAGGGATGATGAGGACAGAGGACCCATGGCCCTGGGGTCATCTGCTTACATTTTTTGAGAGTCCCCCAAGCAGAGCTGAGGCGCTGGTCTGGGATAGAGCTGTAGTCTTTAGTCTTCACAGTGTAAGGCTGAGACTTTTTCTGTAGACATCAGTAGAAATAATATATTTCTTTATTGCTTTTATACTGAATCTTGATAATAAAGTATGACTTACGATACTTGGCCTTTGCTGTTCACATGCACTGGGCGATGGTTATGGAGGTTGTAGTCTAATGCAGCGAGGAGTGTACGAACTTCATAGGCGCCATAAGTAAATCCAAAACGCTTCCCTGCGTACATCAGGACGTGGTTTTGGAAAGATTCGAGCTTCGAAGTTGTCCTACAGAACAAAGATTATTGTAACGTCAAACATACAAATAAATTCGATCTCTGGTAATATAATATACTTTGTAGTATTAAAAAGGCAGTTCCTGTACATTCCCACAAGATATCACCCACATGACTTACCGAAAGGTGAGCAACTTCTCAATATCCTTCAGCCACCTCCGGTTAAGAACCACGTGGAATGGGCTCTTTGTCCTGTTTATCCTCCAGAGGCGCATATGGTGAAGTGCACCTCTCCACACACCCTAAATGTATACAATATGTTGTATATCAAAAGTTATACCATGTCACCATACAAAGAGAAAATTACATTATCTAGTTACGTTATAAATATCCAATGTTCATACAGACCATAAACTCCTCTCTGGTGCTTGGGTGCTGACAAGCATACCAGAAATGGTTAAAGATGCCTTTTGACCAGAAACGATTCCAGCCTGATTGAAGACACCACAATTATATTTTAAAAAGTCTTACCAGACCAGTGTTAAATACAATTAAACACTTGCGATGTCCATGGTGTCTCGCTCCATCGTTGTGTACGTACAGCACATAGCAGAGTGACCTTTTTGGAAAAATATATAGATTGTGGGGGAAATAATAATGACAAACAAACATTTCAATAACAACAAACCGATATTAATGAAATGCCACAGAGCTTTGTGCATTACCTGGAAAGTAGATCCTCCCGTCAGCTAAAACATAAACACAAAAGGCATGTAAGCATACACGGGCTTAGAAATGAATATGCTTACGTACCAAGGGCAACAACGTTGTCTTTGGACTCTAATCTGTTGACAATAGCAGTCTTTTTCTCCTCCCAAAACTGCGTTATTGTTTTTAGACAGTAGGTTCCTTGGACTGCAGAAGATGTTAAGGAGGCCACCGTGTCTCGCTCCATCGTTGTGTACGTACAGCACATAGCAGAGTGACCTTTTTGGAAAAATATATAGATTGTGGGGGAAATAATAATGACAAACAAACATTTCAATAACAACAAACCGATATTAATGAAATGCCACAGAGCTTTGTGCATTACCTGGAAAGTAGATCCTCCCGTCAGCTAAAACATAAACACAAAAGGCATGTAAGCATACACGGGCTTAGAAATGAATATGCTTACGTACCAAGGGCAACAACGTTGTCTTTGGACTCTAATCTGTTGACAATAGCAGTCTTTTTCTCCTCCCAAAACTGCGTTATTGTTTTTAGACAGTAGGTTCCTTGGACTGCAGAAGATGTTAAGGAGGCCACCATGCAGATATTCATGAATTTGAATTAGAGGGAAATATTGGAGAACAACATAAAATCTCCTCCTTGCATAAACTCCATAATTTGTGGCCGTGCGGGCAAAACTATATGGGGAAGAAAGTGTTAACAAGTATGTAACTTCACACATATACCATATTTGTACTTAGTCTGGTAAACAATGTGCAAACCATGTAAACTCACCCACTCCAATATCAAAGATGTACCTCGCGCATGTGACTTTACAGAAAAGGGTGGAAGGCCGTCACACTCTGTGCCTGTGTGGTCACTGCAGTGGCATTTATTGACAGTTGGAGGAAAGTTGCCATCTGCAGAGGTTTTTGTTGTATGCTATGCATGCTTGCTGGTTTACAAGGTCACTTTCAACAACCACTCGATATGGTTTTGGGAAAATGGGAATAGTGGCTGCTGCCTCTTCTTCAAGATCTGCTTTTTGACATTCCTCAACACAGTCAGCAATGTGTAATATAGATTCTTCCAGCCCAATGCAAGGAAGTTTGTCGACCATATCCTGCGATGCACCGCTATTTTACAAGACAAATGAAATTTATGCTATCAGTGAGTGAAAAGTAAGAGATAAGAAAATTAAAAAAATGTACATACAGTAATGAGATTGGTGGCACATAATCTGAATCATACGGGTCTGAAACTTCCCCTTCACACTCTATTCTGGAATTAAAAAAAGAACAGTCCAATATGAAAATTATGTACCAACATATACACATTGAATTACATAGAGAATAACGTACAACTTACACACTGTTTTCAAGATTATTGGCTTGCTCCCCATCTAAAGCGTCATCATTCAGCTCAATTGATTTGCTGCTTCACAATAAAAGACATTTTACATTCCTTACAAAAAACAGTATTTATCAAATAAAATTCATGCATGTTTACCTTTTCTCCAACGATTGTAACCTATTTGCTGTCAGAGGTTCAACTCCTGTGATATGAAAGTCTTCCCTGTAGGACAAAAGATTTTTGTCGACGGTGGATGAGACCTGAAAACAGAAGTTGCATTTGGCAAATTTACCAATCAGATTCTGGGGGGATGGGGCCCCAGCAACACCTTAGCTGATGGGCCATGGGGTGTGGACGTGAGTGATCCCTTTGATAGTGTGCCTCTCAAAACTAGAACAATAGAGCCACTGTTACTGCTAACGATGGCAATATCAAGTATTGCAATGAGGCAATTACAATAACACAGCACATGTTTAGAAAAGTCAACACGCTCTACATCTAACTAGTTACTATTGCGATTGCAATGTGCATACATTTAAACGGGAACATGTTCGTAACCCTCTCATTCTTAGCTAAACAACGAGAGCTTTGCTGAAGCTGTAGGTGGTTTAGTTCTAAAAAAAAAAAAAGCCCTGTTTATAAACAAACTTAGCCTTGCCAGCTAATGCTAGCTAGTGTGTTAGTTTCACGCAGAGATCTTGCTAGAACTGTGTATTACAGATAGTATTTTGAAAAGGACCCATCATTGTCTCGCTCTGAGCACTTTCCACAAATAAAAACTTAGTTGCAGACAAAAAATAGTATTTCTCTAAGTAGCTTGCGATGCACGGACACCACTGCTTTGGAAGCATAAACACATGTGTTTAGAGATGTCGTCTTAACATAACACGGAGCCACCTAGTTTTATTTGCGATCTGATACGTATGCTAACATTAGCATTAGCGCAACTTGTAAGCTGTACAACAATCACTGATGAAATGGTACTAAAACAACGCACTGCTAACACAATATATAAGTAAAAGAATACCATTAGTTTCGCGTCCGGATGTATTAATTTAAACATTAGAATATATTCTAATATTTAATTATAATTTATTATACAGCTCCTCACAGCAGCAGAACACTCCATTGACTTGAATGCAATTCTTCCGATCATTTTTTCTTGATAACAGAACTCTCAAACCAATAATGACCGCAGCCCCAATGCAATCTCTGTTTGTAATTCAGGTGGGTAAAATACTGCCATTACTTTGCAAGTACAACAAGCTATCAGCGCCTGTCACTACATTGTGCAGTTTTTCTGCACACTTGTCTGTGTAGAGAAGCTAGCGGAGCTAGCCACGCTCAATAAACAAATACATATCAATCAACACCATTAAACGTCAATCGGACAATACAGTATACAGATACATCCTTAACACACATGCACGGACGATTTCAGAATTTGCTGTCAACGTTTTCATGACAAAAATACTGTTTTAAAGTGACAAAAAGCGATCGCGAAAAACCCGGAAGTTACCATGACGGCTAGCTAGCTTAACTGCCTAGCACGCTAGCTAGCTTAGCTGTTACCGATGCCTAGCACGTCCCGGTGAAGAAGAGCCTTTGGGAGCTAACTATTTTTTCAATTAATTATGTATTATGATACAACTTGTATGTGTAAAAAGCATTTTTATGACTCATTTAAGGCGCGTTCAGACCAAAAGCTTCAAAAAGCTTTTGACGCGCTTCAACTGACGCCGGGATAGTTTTGTCATTTTGGTGCTTGAAGCTTTTGACGCGAGTGACGCGCCTGACGCCGGTGGGAGGAGCTTCTCTGTTGTCTGTAGTCAGGACAGCGGTGGATTTTTCAATGAGCAGCGAGCCTTTATTTGTTATATAAAGCAAAATAACGTTGTTGTAGGGCTTCAACAAAACATGTTCTGGGTTCACCACAGACTTGAGAGGCTGCAGTGTTTGCAGAGTTCCGTCATTTACTCCAGGAGCTGCGTACGGAGGAGTTTCGCTTTCAGCGGTACTTCCGCATGTCACTTGCCCAGTCTGAGTTCTCAAACCCCGGAGCTCGCCTCTCCCCGCCTCGCTCTTGCCTCTCCCTGCCTCTCCCTGCCTCTCCCCGGCTCTCGCTCGCCTCTCCCTGCCTCTCCCTGCCTCTCCTGCCTCTCCCCGGCTCTCGCTCGCCTCTCCCTGCCTCTCCCCGGCTCTCGCTCGCCTCTCCCCGGCTCTCGCCCGCCCGGAGCTGCCTTGCTCTGAGCCAGACTCATCGTCAGCCTGTTCTTATATTAAATAAACTACGTTTACTACACAGCATGTGTACAATGGTTTTTGTTACTCAGAATTTTACTACTCATACAAATAATATTACTAATAACAATAATGACAATAAAACAGCAGCAGCAGAAACATGACTTCTCTTCATGACAGAGACAGACCCTCTGCTGCTGCTGCTCCTCGTCTCCTGATTGGTTGAAGCCCGCGTCAAAGCTTCAAAAGCTCAGCTTTGCTCAACTTCGGCGTCAAAGGGATTTTTGTGATACGCGAGCGTTTCGCGCGTCAAAAGCTTCAAGTGAGCGCGTAGTACGCGTGACTCTTGAAGCTTTTGACGCGCGTCAAGTGACGCCGGGGCTCTCGGCTTCACCTGACGCGCTTCACCATTCACTTTCAATGGAAACCTGACGCGTTTGACGCCGAAGTTAAGTCCGGTGTGAACACCCCTTTACCTTTCAAGCAGAAATGATGCCAACTGTGGGTCTTTTCTCATGCACAGAGATTCTCTCAGAGTTTTCCACCTCTCAAAAACAACTCCAATGTTTACCCTCGTTTGTTGCCTACTGCGGTCAGACTCGAGTTCCGACCTTTTGGTCGCGCTAGAAACAATTCTATGTTTCTATGCTTTAGTTTGGGTCTTTGCTGGAGTTTCGGCGCTGCTTGAAGCCGGTCTCTTGTTGTTCTTCGCTGTATCCATCCTCCCACAGTCACCTCTCGCTCTGCAGCTTCACTAATGGCTGCTACAGCTAGCGCGAACAGCTAGCGCGGCTACAGCTAGCGCGGCTACAGCTTAGCGTGAACGCGCATGACGTCATTACGCATTACGCTGCCCCTGGATGGTTCGACCCGAATCCTCAAATTCCAAGCATATAAAGACATGTTTTTAGGCATATAGAGGCAATTGCAGTGAAAATGCCAGGGCTCATTCTACACACCAAGGCATTGCTGGAGAATGTATGTGGAAGAAATTTTAATTCTGTATAGTTTTAGTGTAAGTGGTGAAACTTCCATATAGCCTCTTTAAATTATAGCCTTATAACATTAAGATAAGAGATGGAGGCTTTCTGTAAATTTGAAAAATATTAAGGATGGTCCAAAGTTTATGTAGATAATAAATCCTCCCATTTAATTTGCATATTATGACATCATTTGTTGTTAGAAATTGTGGATTTTAGAATTTTAATACAACATTTTTATTTTTCTAACTGACAGACATAAATTGATCACTAGGACATGAACACACACAGAACACACACTGTAACATTGTAAATGTTCAGGGAAATAGTAAAAAATACAAATCATGATGCTGCTGTGAGTTGTATGCACAGACGCGCGCCTCCAGTTGAAGCGCGCGCCTGAGTGTCATCGCGACAGTCCTGCTGCTATATCCCCTGCTCTCTCTCTCGTCTATCAAACACATGACAAAGGCTCCAACACGTTACTGTCCCCCTGATTACGGGAGGCCCAAAAATACATCTATGGGAGGCACTTTTAGCAGACATTTTAATGGAGACTTTAGCGGAGGCTGGAGGTCGCAACTCCCACGCTTGTTCCAGGTTTGTTCTCCGCAAATCTAACCTGTCTCTGAACCTACCAATGACTGCCCTGACTCTGAGAAACACTGTTCCCACTGCTGACTCTGTGCAAAGTGTCTAAAGTTTGTGTTTGGTGCGGTATAACACTTGCACGCTGGCTCGCAGCTGCACTCGCTTCGCTATGTTTTCCACTCTGATTCAATTCGGTCTTGCTTGAATATTTTGTATGGGAGCATGACGTTATTTGGTGCCAGGGAGGTAGTCTGACATGTCTGCCAACTAGTGGCAGGGAGTATGAATGAGTTTTGACACTCCGTTGGACACACTCGGCCGTTTTAAACAGTACCGCAGCTTGTCGACTTAAGTCGACCGTGGCGCCCAGAGGGTTAATAGACAGTGTGTGAATAATAGAAATAATTATCCTTTCTCTGGTTATACTCTTTTTGACATGTTCTTGTTATAATTTAGCGCCTCGTCAAATCACTCTTGCACTGCTTTATTTTCTTCATGTGTCCCTTTACCTTCTTTTGGGCTCACAGTTCACAATAGACAGTCTGGTGGTACTGTCCTTTTTGTAAAGTGTGTTTGAGTGTCAGAATAGGGCTATATAAGTACAATGTACTTATATATGCGAACATCCATAGGTATTCATTCTAACAGTGTGTTCTCATGTATTCCAGAAAGCCATTGATCTGGTTACCAAAGCAACAGAGGAAGACAAAGCAAAGAACTATAAGGAGGCCCTGCGGTTGTACCAGCACTCTGTGGAGTATTTCCTACATGCCATAAAATGTGAGCGTAACTCCTTTCCAATCAACTTTAAAAGTTACTGACATGTTGTATTGTGCAGATGAGGCCCACAGTGACAAGGCAAAGGAAAGCATACGAACCAAGTGTATGCAATACCTAGACCGTGCCGAGAAGCTCAAAGACTATCTGAAGAACAAGGACAAACAAGGGAAGAAGCCAGTGAAGGAGGCCCAGAGTCACGACAAGTGAGTGTGCACAGTGTGCCTATGCTAAAGATGATTTCTATTGGGACAAACACAATGTATAATGTTAGGTAAGCTTTAGATTACAACAGGGCCCTCAATAACAGCTCTGCCATAGACACACTATATCATGGTCTTGCACTCGAAAGATTATTATCATTGTAATTAATAATAAAAATAATAATGCTCGTAAAATAAAAGCATGAAGAGTATAAATGGCTGTATCTTTTTAAGTTCGGAGTGGAGCTTTTACTTAGGCTTTACATTTTCAAAAATTTGATTGAACCGTGCTTCTTGAGATGTTCTAATCTTGGGAAATCTTGGTATAACGCTGCTTTAAGCTTCTCCACAATTTTGTCTCCAACTGACCGAGCAAACATTTACCGTCTTCATCAAGTTTCCACACACTGTAGCTGATATTTTTGCCTATTCTTCCATGCAGATCTTCTATGGAGATGCACATCAGTATTCCTTCCCCCAAAACAGCACAGCTTTATAGATGGCGAAGACTTGCATTACAAAGTAGTGTGTTTTGCCATTGTTTTTAAAGTCATTTTCTGGAATTCTTTTAGGGATGCACCGATATAAAAAGTTGGCCGATTTCGATATCCGATATACATTTTTCTGTTATGGCCCATAACCAATATGTGTGTGTGTTTTTTTCTGAGATGATAAAAGTTTGTACATATTGAATTTCTTCCTCTATTTTCAGAATGTGTGTTTGGAATTGTTTGTGATCCGTGTTTGTGTGCGCAGGAGCGACAGTGACAGTGATGGAGAAAACCCAGAGAAGAAGAAGCTCCAGGAGCAGCTCATGGGTGAGTGACAGGTGTCAGAATGAATGTTTTTTCCTTTTATGTCAAAATGTCTTGACTCTGCAGACTCATCAATATATGAATTTTGTCCACCTAACAATTGAATACTAAATAATAATACACCTGTTTTATGTAGCGCTTTTATGATCGCTCAAAGTTTCATGTCATTATTCATTATCTCCAAACACAGTGATGATAAGTTTCAGGGCAGCTGTGGAAAATATTTTTGTGAAAAATATAATTTTTTTCAGGGCGACAGTAGCTCAGTTGGTAGAGCATTGGCCTTTAGGCCTGAAGGTCGTGGGTTCGATCCCACCTCGACACCTTCTCCACCGACTCCTGTCGTTGTCTGCTGTCGTTGTGTCCTTGGGAAAGACTTAACCCCACTTTTCCCGAAACACTGCAACATTACACTTTACAGCTGCCCCACTGCGGCAGTTTTGTGTTCCAAAAGGTCTCCCATGACAGTACTAACCAGACCGAGCAAGGCATTTCCCAGAATGCCTTGCTCAGCCATGATAGGTCGAGAAAGGGGCTGCCTACTTCCCCCAGAATGCTGTGCGCTTTTTTCTGTTTTTCTTCTTCTAGCGGAGTTAAGTGAAATCATAGAAAATTCTATTAACCTAATTTTCTATTGATATTGATCACGTCTATTGCAATATATATCGTTATTGTTTTATCGCCAATCTCTACTTTGATGAGACAACCCCTTGTTTGGTTGAAGAGGATCAAAATGACCCCAAACCATGGATCTGTTTTCCAATTGCAGATGCCCCAAAGTCACCAAAATCACCACTCTTTTCCCCTCACTGTACAACAGAGCCAATGAAACGCTTTGACACACCAACACAGTTGATACAAAGCGAAGCAGAGGCTACAGTGTCAGAGACACTGACACCGGCGGTTTGGTACACGCTCCAACACAGTGTTACAAACATGGATCTATAACCAAGCAGTTATAGGAAGAGTGAAACACACTCCAGAGCATCTGGATTGTTTGCCCATCACTAGATAATTTGGGTGTGTCCAGACCTCTGCAGCGGTGTCTCTGCCGAACCCCTTAGACCGACTCCCTGAACCCTTAAGCTTTGATCGAACCCAGGTTAAGAACCACTGGTGTAGAGAGAGGAGTCAGGCATCTCTTTTGGTCTTCAAGTCTGCTTAAGCTTCATCATTGATTAATTTTTTGTTTTTTTTTTGTTTCAGTATCTCTGCAAATGAATTTATTGTTTTAGTCAACCAACCCTGGTCATGTTGGCTCCAAAACCCTTGTGTGTCCAGGTGCCATCATTATGGAGAAACCCAACGTACGGTGGAACGATGTAGCTGGACTGGAGGGAGCGAAAGAGGCTCTGAAGGAAGCCGTCATTCTGCCTATCAAATTTCCTCATCTGTTCACCGGTACTGTTTTTATGGTCTTGCATCTGTTTCCACAAGCTTCAAAAGCAAGTACAAATATGACTCATTCAGAAACAAGGTGGACCTCAAGTCAGTACATCAGATGCTTTTTGGAGAGGGGATTGTCATGGTTTGGTTTCTCCTCCGTGTAATACAATACAATACAATACAATTTATTCTTGTATAGCCCTAAATCACAACAGAAGTTATCTCAGAGGGCTTAGCAAAACCATTGAAATCACCAACACAGATTAGAGAATTAACAGTTAAAACATATAAAGAATATAGAACAAATGTTGAAAAATGTCCATACATGTTGTAGAATGTTAAAGTGTCCTGGATCATCACCACAGTCCTTCTAGTTGGACACTAACTGCCCAACAGACCCTCCTGCATCAGCAAGGAAAAACTCATAAGAAAAACCCAGTGGAAAAAAAGTGAGAAACCTCGGGGAGACCCATAGTTTGAGAAAGGGACCCGCTCCCACGGACGGACGGGCTATAGATCCAGGACCTAAGCTACAGAACGTGGACCAGTGGCCGTTGAACGTGGACAGGTCCGGTACAGGACCGAAGAACTCCCAGGCGGGTCGGGCAGGGCAGTCCGCAGGTGTAGATGGAGGAGGCCAGATCCAGAGGTCCGTCATCGTACCATGAAACAGACAATGGGACAACGGGTGAATAGCAATGAACAAACTACAGTCAAAATCCTAATAATGCTAAACAGATGGGGGAGGAGGATAGTGCTCAAGTTACCATACTTCTCCCAGCAAACTGACTCCCTATGCAGCTTGACTTACAGTCTAAGGAGTTTAGACTTCCCTGAGTCTTACATTCCTTGCCATAAGCTAACTAAAGAGGACTGTTTTAGCCTATCCTAGAAAGTAGGGTTGAAGATGCAGCGGACCAGGTCCCATATACGCAGACTCCAAGACCAGACGAAACCTGACCGGACAAAACAACCTAACGAAATGCTAAGTTGAAAAAGAGTGTTTTAAGCCTGGCCTTAAATGTAGAGAAAGTGTCTGCTTCCTTAACGTGCGTGGGGAGCTGATTCCACAGTAAAGGAGCTTGGTAGCTAAATGCTCTTCTGCCGACAGTGCTTTTTGAAACCTTAGGGACCACCAGACGTCTGGCGTTTTGCGAGCGCAGTGCCTGGCTTGGTTGATAAGACATTAACATGTCTTGGAGGTAAGCGGGAGCCAAGCCAAATATGGATTTGTATGCCAAGAGAAGAATTTTAAACTTTATTCTGTACTCCAGAGGAAGCCAGTGGAGTGATTTCAACACCGAAGTTATGTGCTCCCTCATTTTGGTGCCTGTTAAGATCCTTGCTGCTGTATTTTGAACAAGCTGGAAGCTCTTCATAGAGGTTTTTAGGGCACGTTGCCAGCAAAGCGTTACAGTAGTCAAGCCTTGAGGTGACAAAAGCGTGGATTAGTTTTTCCGCGTCACTTTTAGGAAGATATTCCTGATTTTAGCGATGTTCCGCAAGTGGAAATATGCCGTTTTAGTTGCTTGGTTTATATAAGCCTTAAAGGAGAGTTCTTCGTCAAAAACGACTCCAAGATTCCTCACAGTGTTGCTGGGTACAATACTGACATTATCGAGAATGATTATCTGGTTGGTGAGGGAGTCACGCAGGCGCTTTGGACCGAGTAGGATCACTTCTGTTTTCTCCGGGTTAAGCAGTAGAAAGTTAAGAGTCAGCCACATTTGAAGGTCCTTTATACAGGCACTAAGCCAGGGGTCACCAACCTTTTTGAAACCAAGAGCTACTTCTTGGGTACTGATTAATGCGAAGGGCTACCAGTTTGTTACACACTTAAATAAATTGCCAGATATGGCCAATTTGCTCAATTTACCTTTAATTCTATGTTTTTACTAATAATTAATGATATTTATTGTGTGGAAAAACTTTTGTATTTTCTCTAAGTGCACATTTTTCAAATTTAACAAATGATCACTTCTAAGACAGTCCCATTTAATCGCAATTAATCACATTTTAATCGCATATAAATATTTGACCTGAGAACAGTGAGAAGTAATTTTTTTCACATGGATTTTTAGTTTACCATTGAATAATGACTGAATACATGAGGCTTAAGCAACACATGTTAATATGGAGTTTAAGGGATAACTTCTAAACATCAAATAACGTTTCTGTCATTGCCTCCACACTCTGACGACAACATATGCTCCTCCTCCTCCTCCTCACACTGACGACAACATACTCTTTTTAAGCCCAAAATCCACTGCACACGCTGTGAGCACTAAAGCTGGGCATGCGCTGTTTGCTAAAGCTTTTATAATACGTTTTTGATGTGTGCATTCGGAGTAAACATCAGCATTAGCAGCTCACACACCTGTGTCTCGCTCGTCCTTCTCCTTCTCCTCCTCCTCCGCTCACACAGGAGTCACTGCTCCTCCTCCTCACACACAGAGTCCATCGCTCCATACACAGCGCTCATTCCCGTCTAATTTACTCGAATTTAAAGTTGGTCTCTGCTTGTAATAATGTACTTTTGAACAAGAAAAGTCACGGAGCTCCGGTTGGTGCGTCAGTTCAATTGGTCCGTCTGAAACTTATTCAGTGAGGAACGTTCCGCGGTGCAAAAATACATACGATTAAAATGCGTAATTTTTTTAACGCGCTTTTTTGTGTGTAATTAATTAATCTTTATTAACTTGTTAAAGTCCCGGCTCTAGTTTATATGCCATTTGTAAGTTGCATGTAAGTATGATTTAAACAAAAATAGCACTGGTAAGTGCTGCCATTTGAGCTATTTTTAGAACAGGCCAGCGGGCGACTCATCTGGTCCTTGCGGGCGACCTGGTGCCCGCGGGCACCGCGTTGGTGACCCCTGCACTAAGCCTTTTCAACTGATCCGTCTGATTTGGTTTCATCGACAGATAAAGCTGTGTGTCATCTGCATAGCAGTGGAAATTGATTCTGTAGCCCTGTGTAATATTATTACATGCCATAATAGTTGCACCCCATAGTTTTATTTTATAACCACCGTTTTATTGTACATAATTTTGAAATGCAATGCTTGGTTCCGCCAGCAGAGGGCGCTTGGTGCTTTCACTAGTGGTTGCTGCCGGGGCAACGCTAGAAGTACAGTACTTAACGTGATGAGACTGCACCGAGTGAGCTCTGCATTCAATGTCTGTTTTACGTGTTTTGCAGGTAGGCTGGTTTGTTAAAAACACACAGATGATGGCTAACAGTGGTGACATGTATTGTGTACAGCTTTGAGTGCCTTTGATTGAGCTAAAGGGGCAAAAGGGATACTTTGGGGTGATTGTATCAGTTGGGGTTGCCGCGGGTCAACAGTGTAACCGTTGGTTGTCGCGAGACAACGGCCACAAAAGTATCTGAAACTGTATTTTTTTTGTAAGAATTGTATATTTGATAGTGGTTAAAGATGGCTCAATGTTAACATGTTTCTTAAGAGTCAAACTGAATTTAGAGTTTATTTAAAATAAAACACGGGTCCTTTGTCAAGTTGAGATAGGTGGACTTGCATGACTAATGTGATAGGGCAGAGCGTATTCTCCATACTATGTGACTTCATACTGGTAATGACATGATTGTAAGCTGGGAAATATTAGAACAGTATCTATAATTAATAATATTGAGAGGAATGTGTTTTTTTGTGTGTGTTTTGATCATATTGCAGATAAAGATTTCAGTACAGTATTTATGTGTGTAATTATACTTAAATGTATAGGAGAAGTACAGTTAGTACTTAACGTGATGAGACTGCAGCGAGTGAGCTCCTGCATTCAATGTCTGTTTTACGTGTTTTGCAGAGCCTGAATTAAATTTAAATGTGCTGCACATGAATGAGTTGGCCCATCATTCAAAAAGTGTAACATATTTTGGCGAGCCAGCCAGGAGGAGGCGATAGTGAGTCACCGTCACGACCCTTCCTCCTTCCCAAGAGTCGAACCTTATTCTTCAAGCAACTATGGAGAAGATACAATTACTGCGTGACCAGTTGAGTGCAGCTTTATGGCAGCTGGAGCGAGACCTTCTCATCGATGTGTGTGGGCGACTGAAATGTTACGGCCTCAGCAGCGGAGAACCTCCCAGAGAGACAAAAAGGGCACTCATCAAGATGGCAGAGGACGTTTTTGATGAAGTCGAGAAAAAGGATAAAGATGATGAGGTAGAGCAGTTCTACATTGAATTGAGGACATACATTGGGAAACTGAATAAAAGTACAATTCAGTCAGATGTAAACAAGCAATCAGAACTCTTACCAGAAGAAGAACCGGTCAATGCCACTTGTAAGGTAATAAAATGCACTGCCCCCCCCCCGCGATGACCCAGGCAAGCCGGCCAAGCCGGTTGTGTGTGAGATAACAAAAACACACGGCTCGGAACATCTAAGGCAATGGAGGTCGGATAGAGCACCACAATGGCTCACATAGATACAGCAGTCATCTCAAAGACAGTGATCGTCCCCAGAGCACACCTCTGGCCCCCACCCCCGGCGAGTTCAAAGGGGGCCAGTGGGTCTGCATCGCCTCACACAAAGCCATAGACATCACCCATGGGCCGGCAACGGCGTTCCACCACCCCCCCCCCCCAGTGGACACGGGACGCCAATACACCTGAGACGGACAACTGAAACCACGGATGAATATGTTGTTTTGCTAACATCTTAAATCAGAAAACGTGTGTACCATTGTCTGTGAACAAGGTGTGTTGTGTGTCTATGTCTAAGTAACGTGTATGTGGTTAAAACTATGATTTCATGAAAGGAGTTCTGGAGGCGCGGAAAGTCGACGTCATAAGACACGCCCCCAGAGCCGGAACAAAAACAGAGACACAATAACTTTCGTGTTAACTTTTGCTTGTGAACCTTTTGGGAGCTCTCTTTTAAACTTTCTCTGGGCCAGTGGGCCGCGTCTTGGAGCGCGGCCCACTCCCCTGCGCGATCCAGGGGCCCACAACTTCAACCCAGGCGCAGGTTGGAGCTCGCTGCCCGGACAGCTGCCCGATCCTTTTCCCTATCGAGCTGAACTCGACTTGCCTGTCCCGCAGCGGCGCAACTGCGCTCCAACTCCCACCAAAAAGGAGCACCGTGGACCATCGCGCCTCAAGCCACCTCTGGGCTTCCCGGGACCGATCCCCGCTCCCTGCTCCCGTGTGTGGGAAAGACTGGAGTGTGTGCGTGCCCGCTTTCCGTGCGTGAGGAAGACTGAAGTGATTGACCGCCTGACCCAAACGGGTAGAAAGCCTCTTCACCTCTGGGACTTGGCAGTAACAGTAAGACTTGCTGGGGTTGTATTGTGTGTGATGGTGATGTGTTTCTGACATTCCTGTTCATGTGACTTATCATACTTGTGTGATCCCTCCCGGTTACCGTTCACGTTTCTATATGTAGTTAATAAACCCACGCTAACTTTTAAGAGTCGTCAGTGTTCTTTGTATAATTCATGATATCCCTGGCCGATATAGAGCTCAAGACCTATCAGATTATGAGACTGATCGAGGCAGAATGGATCTGTGCAGACTTTTCGAACTCTGCTGGTGCCCCTCTTACTTAAAATTTAGATCCATTCAACCCGGAGTAGGCGAGGCTTAGGACTACGTTTGCGATAGGGATGTAAAAAACTATGCATTTTCATGACCGACCACCGAGCCTCATTAACCGGTTGAAACCGGTTAACCGCGTAGTTTAAAATATTCCACGTTCTTTGAAATAGCAGCCATTTCGAGCCGCGTACTTTTCATAAGTTTATCTATGCGTTCTACTAGATCAGAGCTGAGACAGCGGCGCCAAAACCCGCAACAGCTTCGGAACCTTTGCGCACAGAGAACTGCTTTTTTAATCTTCCCATACTGTGCTGCAGGTTAAAGCATTTTTAAGCAAAAGACGGCTTGTTCACATGGTCAGAGCAGCGAGTTACACCCCGCGTCTCGCAGGTCTCCGCTAAAGTTTAAAAGTGATGTGTGTGGATCTGATCTAATGACAAGGACCAGCAGCACAAACATGTTTCATGTGTTTGGGGCCGCGTATTTGCGAGGATTCTTTGGGCTGCGAGACACAGAGGTGCGCGACAGACCGGTATGTGTGTGTGTACAATACATGTATGTATGTGTGTGTAAATATAAGCTCCAATGTAGTTCTGACCTGCACTAGTGTGGAACTTTGGCGGTAACAGAGGGGAGAGATGATGCGTGTGGATGTTACGTATGGAGGGGGGGAAAGTGTTTGTGTGTGTGTGTGTGTGTGCGCGCGCGTGCGTGTGTGCGCGTGCGTGGCTGCGTGCATATGTGGAGCGTGCGCCATAAAAGTCGCCCGTAGTCTACTAATGCATTGGCGCACACAGCTAGATACGGACCCGCTCGTCACATCGTACAAATAGGGCTTATTAATAGCCTTATTAAGAGACCTCCCCTCTCCGCTTTTTCTTATTTTTAACCGACAGCTTTGACCGGTTAACGCTGTGACGGTCAACCACCGGTTAAACGGTCACCGATTTACATCCCTAGTTTGCGACGTTTAATACCGACACAAACTGATACAAAGCCTCCCCTCTCCACATACAATTTTCATACCCTACACACTCCACCAAAGATTTCACCTCCACCACTCCGATTTCTCTCACAGCCAATAAACAACTTACAAGAGGTAACACTGAGAAGGGAGTTTAAGATAAGTGGGCAGATAGGGGAACATGGACAGAAAGAAAAGCTATCCTACCTTAGCCTTGTCCGCCAAATTGAGATGGGGATGGAAAAAGGACATCTAGAAACTGAAGTAGTTGAGGCAGTGATCAGAGCCATTAGCCCAGGCTTGCCTTTAAGAGATATGTTAGAGATTAAACGTGGACTGACCCTTAGTAATTTGCTCATCATACTAAAAGGCCACTACAGGGTAGACAGCTCCACCGAACTATACCACCAGCTTCTTAACATAACCCAAGAGCCTAAAGAGACTGCATTGAACTTTGTCTTTCGTGCTATTGAAATGAAAGAGAAACTATTGTGGAAAGTAGCAAACGAGGAAACTGATGAACTGTACAGTCGTGTCACCATTCAACGCAAGTTTCTACGCTCCATTGAAACAGGGCTGCTCAGTGATTCAATCAAGTACCAGTTGCTGCCTCTGCTCAGTGGTCTGGGAACAACAGATGAAGAACTAATTGAAAGAGTGAATGAAGTGTCAAAGCTTGAAAACGAGAGACTGGAGAAGCGTAAAAGAACAACTGCAGCCAAGATTCCCAAAGTACAGGAACTCCAAACAGAGTGCCAAGCGGACCCAATTCAGAGCCCCAAGCTAAGAGAATTTCAGACTACAGTGGATGTGAAAGCAGTTAAAGGTAGAGAGACTAAAAACGAATGTACAAACACACAGCAGATCATTGAGGAGTTGCGGAAAGAAATGAAGCAAATGTTCATGACTGCAATGGAAGTGAATCCCCGTCCATTAGGATCAAGGCAGAGGGAAAGAGGCTGTAGGAAATGCAGAGATGAGGGGCGCGGGGAAAACTGTGGACACTGTTTCAAATGTGGACAGGAAGGTCACTTCTCTCGTGGATGCAGAGCTCAAAGGCCCTCGGGAAATGGGGAGGGACTACTGAGACGGGACCAGCAGTAGTTCAAAACCCAGTGTCCCAAAGTGAGCAACGCCAAGGTGAGCAACGAAGTCCTCTTCAAACTCCCACAGCAACAACAAACAGTGCTCAGTCAGCCGTAAGTGAAGTTCACTACCTGCCTCCTCAGCGAAAGTCACAGTTAATAAGCCTTGTTGGTAACAGGTATACAGTTAATTGTTATATGGATAACCACCCAGTTAAAGTGTTGTGGGATACCGGGGCACAGTCCAGCATAGTCAATGAAAACTGGCGGCAGAGATATCTTCCCCATACTGCTGTACGGCCCATCGCAGAGCTGTTGGACGGTGAGACCCTTACAGTATATGCTGCCAATGACACGCCCATTCCATATATTGGCTGGATTGAAGTCAGCTTCAGACTTGAGGGTGATGTATCCAGAGCAAGTGAGCTACAAGTGCCCATATTAGTGTGCAATGATCCAGCTGTGGCCAGTGATCCCATTATTGGTTATAATGTGATCGAGACTGTGATGAACAAAAGTGAAGTAAAGACTAAAGGGGGACAAAAACAGCTTGCACATAGAGTTAGTAAAGCTTTTGAAATAACAGTTCAAGCTGCACACAACATTGTCAAGTTGGTACAAAACAGCAGAGTAGAGACTGGTGTGTTACGTATTGGTGTCAGAACCATCAAATTACCAGCTAACAAAGTCACCGTATTCTACAGTATATGCGGGCACATGTTAGTCCAGGGGCCAGAGGTCAAGATATGTTGTTTTCGCCTGACCCACCACCAGAGGGAGTTGTATACAATGATGCACTGGTTAAAATTCCTGATAAGAAAATGCCATATGTGCCCATTCCTGTAACAAACAGTACACATCACACCATGTATTTAGCCAGTCATGAAGTAATTGGACACTTAGAGCCAGTCAAGACAGTTTATTGTGCAAGCATTCCAACAGGAGAATCAAACAAAGAGAAACGGAGTACAGGGTTCAAATCACACCAGTTGAGTCACACAGACAAGCGAGAGATAGAAGAAACAGAGAGACCAAAGTCATGGGATCCACCCGTTGATCTTCAACACTTATCACAGAGGCAACAAGAGACAGCAAGGAAAATGTTGAGGAAAGAATGTGAGGCGTTTTCATTTGATGACGATGATGTGGGCTGTATACCATCTCTAAGAATGCACATAACCCTACATGACCCCAGTCCAGTACAAAAGACCTACATGTCTGTCCCAAAGCCCCTTCACAATGAAGTCAAAGAGTATTTGCAAGACCTGCTCAACAAAGGATGGATCACGCCCTCAAGGTCTCCCTACTCATCGCCTGTGGTTTGTGTGCGCAAGAAAGATAGCACTCTCCGTCTTTGTTGTGACTTTAGGGAACTCAATAGAAAATCACTCCCGGACCGCCACCCAATACCTCGGATTCAGGACATGTTGGATGCGTTAGGTGGGAGCTCATGGTTTTCAGTTTTAGACCAGGGAAAAGCGCACCACCAGGGTTTCCTAGATGAAGACAGCCGCCCGCTAACAGCTTTCATCACACCCTGGGGACTGTATGAATGGGTGCACATTCCATTCAGCTTGAGCTCCGCACCTGCTGAGTTCCAGAGGAGCATGGAACATTGTTTGGCTGGCCTCAGAGACACTACTTGCCTCCCGTACCTGGATGACAATCTAGTACATAGTAACTGCTTTGAAGATCATGTTGAGCATGTCCGTCTGGTCCTCCAGCGTTACAAAAAGCATGGTGTGAAATTAACCCCAAAGAAATGTGAGCTTTTCAGGTGCAGTGTCAAATTCCTCGGAAAGCTGGTGACGGGGGAAGGCTATACCATGGACCCGGCAGAGATGGCGCCAGTGAGGGCTCTGAAAGAAAAGACACCGGTAACAGTCGGAGAGGTACGTCAAATGCTGGGATTCCTCTCATACTACAGGCCCTTTATCCCCAACTTTTCCCGTGTGGCCCATCCGTTGTACAGCCTGCTCAGTCCTCCAGCTCCTGATAATGACACTCCAATCCGAGCAGAGAAGTCAAAAAAAGGGGTTATCAAAAAAAATAAAGGCCACTTACCATCACGCACTCCCATCCAATGGACTAGCTCACACCAGGAAGTGCTGAACCAACTTATAGACGCCCTTACCAAACCCCCTGTCCTCGGATATCCAGACTTCACCCAGCCTTTTGTGTTACACTGTGATGCCTCACAAGTTGGTTTAGGTGCTGTCTTGTACCAGAGACAACAGGGGAAGATGAGAGTGATAGCATTTGGCTCTCGCACCTTAAGCCCTGCAGAGAAAAAGTACTACCTACACTCTGGCAAGTTAGAATTTCTAGCGATGAAGTGGGCCATCTGTGAACGTTTCCGGGATTACCTGTACCATGCTGTATCATTTGTGGTATACACAGATAATAACCCATTAACATATGTGCTCACATCAGCGAAACTCAACGCAACAGGCCATAGATGGCTCGGGGAGCTGGCTGATTTCAACTTCATAATACGCTATCGTCCAGGCAAGAATAACGCTGACGCTGATGGACTGTCTCGCATGCCATTAGACATTGGAAACTACATGAATACGTGTACAGCTGAAATCACACAAGAAGCTATAAGTGCATCCATGGAATCTGTGACAGTGGAACAGAGTGACCCCTGTCAGGGTGTGGGGGTAATCCAGGTCAGTGCTTTAACTAGCAATGCAAGATTACATTTTTTAAATTACCAAATCAGATTTAATTCAGCACAGTATTTTCCAGCTCAGTAAGAGGAATAAAACAGTTTTTGAATGATGAAAATCGGATAAGTGGTTATGATTTTATTACCATATTGATAAGTGCTTTTAGGCGCTTATAGTGAAAGTAATTTGGTTAGGGTTAGGGTTACCAACAGGAAATCCGGAAAACATTTTTTTCAAACTGCATATGTAATATATCAAAATGAAGGTAATTGATGGAGCAATCTAAATATGATGCTTAGAAATGTTTTTGGCATATGCACACACATGTGTTATTTATGAGACTAAAGTTACAGACCCCAGCTTTAAACATGTGTTATTTGAGACTAAAGTTACAGACCCCAGCTTTAAACATGTTATTAATGAGACTAAAGTTACAGACCTGAGCTTTAAACATGTGTTATTTACGAGACTAAAGTTACAGACCTCAGCTTTAAACATGTGTTATTTATGAGACTAAAGTTACAGACCCGAGCTTTAAACATGTAATTTATGAGACTAAAGTTACAGACCTCAGCTTTAAACATGTTATTTATGAGACTAAAGTTACAGACCTCAGCTTTAAACATGTGTTATTTACGAGACTAAAGTTACAGACCCGAGCTTTAAACATGTTATTTATGAGACTAAAGTTACAGACCCCAGCTTTAAACATGTTATTTATGAGACTAAAGTTACAGACCTGAGCTTTAAACATGTTAACTAACCCAAACCCCCTTGTTAACATGTAAAATGGATTAGTCCAACCAATGGCATTGGTCCGTTTGGGCCACGTGACTCGCGTTTCTACCCCCCTGAAAAGTGGACTCACCCGGACTTGCCTGCCGCTTCGGCAGCAGAGCAGAGTGTGTGATGAGCGCTGCGGTTTTTCAACTTTATTCACTGATCCGCGGGTCAAAACAACCGTGACATGATTCAAATATACCATAATTCTAAAGCTTATAATCTTAGATGTATGTGTGTGGTGTTGGTTTTCCAAAATTCCGGCTACTTACCGTTTATTTTGCTATTAAGTTTGTAGGATTATATCTCCGTAACCGCAACAGCTGGAGAGATGCCGCTTTCACCGTAATGCGCTGTAATAAGTGATCTGTTTACCCGGTAAATATCACCTCGCGGCAACGTCATTAACCCGCGCGGAATTCCGGGGATATCCCGACTCATTTTTTTTCAGAGTCCAGACTATCTGTAGCCCACTCTGCCTCATATTCGTCAACTTTATTAATTCATATCTCAGGAAATAAACGGAATATCAGAACAATGCACACATTTATGGATTCTATGAATAACAATATGTTTATTGATAGTGGTGGTAGCTATATATTCTGATTATTTAGCTGCTCAGAATCATAAAGTGAGTAAGACAGCGACCTCTTTTCACCACCGCGTTTCCACTGAGTCTTGCATTGCTACTTTAACACTGATAAAGGACTCTAACACAAATACACCTCTCACCCCAAACCAGATTCGCAAAGCCCAAGAAGAAGATGACATTTTGGCCAGAGTCATTTGGTATAAGTCACAAGACAAGAGACCAAGTAGAGCCGAGGTAAAATCCGAGCCTCCTGCTGCCGCCTCACTGCTCAAGCAATGGTTAAAGCTTCACATTGATCCAGATGGAGTCCTACGCCGTAAAACATTGCGCCGAGAGCAGATATTGCTTCCTAAAATCTTTCGTTCCCTGGTCTACAAAGAACTGCACCAAGATATGGGGCACTTGGGGGTAGAGAGGACACTTGATGCAATCAGGGAAAGGTTTTACTGGCCACAAATGAGTAAAGATGTAGAACATTTTGTGACAGAAGAATGCGAGTGCCTCAAGAAGAAAAAGCCAAGTAAACAGACACGTGCACCCTTAAAATCAATCCATACTTCATATCCATTCCAGCTGGTGTCCATAGACTTTGTCCACTTAGAAAAGTGCAAAAATGGCTATGAGTACATTTTAGTAGTTATGGATCACTTCACGAGGTTTGCTCAAGCCTACGCTACAAGAAACAAAACAGCCAAAACAGTAGCTGACAAATTGTTCAATGACTTTGCGCTCAAGTTTGGATTCCCTACAAAGTTACATCACGATATGGGCAAAGAGTTTGAAAACAAGTTGATGGCAAGACTAAAAGAACTGTCAGGCATCCAAGGTTCTCACACCACGCCTTACCATCCACAGGGTAATGGACAGGTGGAGAGATTTAACCGCACCCTGTTGTCCATGCTGCGCACCCTGGAGGACAAAGAGAAGGAAGATTGGAAAGAGTCACTTGCTAAAGTTGTTCATGCCTACAACTGCACCAAAAGTGAAGAAACAGGTTACGCTCCATATTATCTTGTTTTTGGTCGTTCCCCCCGTTTGCCTATTGACATGCTGTTCAACATAAAAAAAAGAAGAGTCCCACGTTGACTATAATGACTATGTGATTAACTGGAAAGAGAGAATGCAAGAAGCATATGACATTGCAGCAAAAACAGCTGTTAAAGAAGCAGCTCGAGGAAAGTCATACTACGACAAGAAAGTTAAAGGTAGAGATCTTCGACCAGGCGATCGGGTTCTACTCAGGAACCTTACACCCAGAGGTGGGCCCACAAAGATTCAGTCCTATTGGGAAGATCAAGTCTACACCATTCGAGAGAGGAAAGCTGAAGATAGCCCAGTGTATCAAATAAGTCCTGAGAATGGTAGAGGGAGAGACCGAGTTGTGCACAGAAATCTTCTTCTACCCTGTGACTTTCTTCCCTGTGAGAAAACACCAACAGCGACACCTGCTACAGCCAAGAGGAAGTCCCGACCCCCACGGCGAGAGCAGCAGCCGCCCGAGTCTGGAGACACATCCGACGACAACGATTGCTGTGGAACTTACCAGTGGCACCTCCGACCCGGTCCGGGAAGATGGCAGCAGCAGCAGGCTCCACTCAACCCACTGGCGGTGTCCTTCCAGCCTCATCAGGACCCAGCGCAACCAGAAGAGGATTTGCCACTACAGAGCGAAGAGGATTTGCCACTACAGAGCAAAGAGAACGTTCCAGTGCAATCCCTTGACTGGCCAGGGCGTGGTGAGTCCCCGACAGACAACGCTGCTGTCAGTGGAGGTATGACTGAGACACAGCGACCTCAACGACAGCGGCAGCCGCCAAAGGTACTGAGTTACAACACGCTAGGCCAGCGCCGACTCTAGTTCAGAGAGACGATAAGGTAAAGACTCAGGTTATTGCGACTGACTGTTTTTGGAGACCGTGGTCCGTCCAAGTGTATTAAGAGTAGGGCTGGGCGATATGGCTGAAAACTATATCACGATATAAGTCATTCATATCGGTCGATAACGATATATATTGAGGTTTTTTTTTTTTACCTAAATAAATATATTTGTCGTGTGGGCTAACCAACCTTAGCAGCCTTGTTTACAGTCACGGGGCGATGAGGCTGGAGAAATATGTTCACACTGTGTCCCTCGTTGTTAGTCCTGGTTTATTCCTGGTTTTTTATTCCTGGTTTAGCTCCTGGTTTAGCTGTTTGAGGGTCTTGTGTCCCCGTGGCCGCTCCGTGTGGCTCTCTGTGCCGCACATGCTTCCCGAGGAAAAAGTTAATCTCTTGCTTTCGCCAAATACATCGGGTCTGTCCACTGCCTCTGCCGCCGCACATGTTATTCCGCGCACGTACGTGCATAACCATTGACACGGCATTGAAACACGAGCTATAGATCCATGGACGCCACGCATGCTGCGGTTGTTGTTGTTTTTGCATTTCCCACAAAGTTTTGCGGTTCCTGCTCGGCTGTTATTGGTCGAGAAGCCTCCGCCTACATCCCCCACAATGCCATGCGCTTATGAGTCGGCTTTACTTCCGGTGTTTTCTTCCTGTTTTTCCTGACGGAGTTAAGTTAAACTATCGAACATTCTATCGACCCCATTCTCTATTGATATCGAACACATGTCTATCGCGATATATATCGTTATCGTTTTATCGCCCAGCCCTAATTAAGAGACTGTATTTATAGAAATGCCAGGAGACATTTTATTTTGTGGGGGAAAGTGTAGCCCTGTGTAATATTATTACATGCCATAATAGTTGCACCCCATAGTTTTATTTTATAACCACCGTTTAATTGTACATAATTTTGAAATGCAATGCTTGGTTCCGCCAGCAGAGGGCGCTTGGTGCTTTCACTAGTGGTTGCTGCCGGGGCAACGCTAGAAGTACTTAACGTGATGAGACTGCACCGAGTGAGCTCCTGCATTCAATGTCTGTTTTACGTGTTTTGCAGGTAGGCTGGTTTGTTAAAAACACACAGATGATGGCTAACAGTGGTGACATGTATTGTGTACAGCTTTGAGTGCTTTTGATTGAGCTAAAGGGGCAAAAGGGATACTTTGGGGTGATTGTATCAGTTGGGGTTGCCGCGAGTCAACAGTGTAACCGTTGGTAGTCACGAGACAACGGCCACAAAAGTATCTGAAACTGTATTTTTTTGTAAGAATTGTATATTTGATAGTGGTTAAAGATGGCTCAATGTTAACATGTTTCTTAAGAGTCAAACTGAATTTAGAGTTTATTTAAAATAAAACACGGGTCCTTTGTCAAGTTGAGATAGGTGGACTTGCATGACTAATGTGATAGGGCAGAGCGTATTCTCCATACAATGTGACTTCATACTGGTAATGACATGATTGTAAGCTGAGAAATATTAGAACAGTATCTATAATTAATAATATTGAGAGGAATGTGTTTTTTTGTGTGTGTTTTGATCATATTGCAGATAGAGATTTCAGTACAGTATTTATGTGTGTAATTATACTTAAATGTATAGGAGAAGTACAGTTAGTACTTAACGTGATGAGACTGCAGCGAGTGAGCTCCTGCATTCAATGTCTGTTTTACGTGTTTTGCAGAGCCTGAATTAAATTTAAATGTGCTGCACATGAATGAGTTGGCCCATCATTCAAAAAGTGTAACAATTCCATGCTTTTTAATTATGTTTCCTAAGTAATCACCAAAAGGAGGGAGCACATAACTCCGGTGTTAAAATCACTCCACTGGCTTCCTGTGGAGTACAGAATAAAGTTAAAAATTCTTCTCTTGGCATACAAAGCCATACATGGCTTGGCTCCCGCTTATCTCCAAGACATGTTAATGTCTTATCAACCAAGCCGAGCATTGCATTGAATTCTGCACTAGCTGCAGACGAGCAAGTGAGGACTGGCTGATACCTATGTACAAGGCGTTACAATAGTCCAGCCGAGTTGTACAGGTAACAAATCCAAAATCCAAAATTTGAAATTCCCCTTATTTGTGTTTTGAAATTACAATCAGCATCCATTTTCACTCGAAGGTTTGAAACAATGGGCTTAACAAATGTTTTTAGGGGGTCCCAGGTTCACGGAGCTACTGCTTCCACCTCTGGTCTTTTGAGAGATGCCATAAATAATAATTATTTTAAATAATAAGTCTTTTGTTTATTGTATTTAATGAATATGAAACATTATGTGACACCTGACCAGCATATTTTGTACTGTATTTGTTTTGTATTTTGTTTTTTGAGCCAAGGCACAAATCTCGCGGCACACCACCAGGAGAAAATGTAGGTAGACACGGGGTTACCACGAGTCCATGGTTCTGTCCACGCGACTATGGTACGCGCTCAGTATTACGTTACGGTTGTGCGTTCGCTGAGCTGTCAAAGCAGCTGTCAGTACAACGTGGCCACAGCTGCCCCGGGGTAGGAGCGGAGGATGTGAATCCTGTTCAGAAATGGCATAATTCCTTTTCAAAAACGTCTCAATCACTTTTACTTCTCACGTGCCACAATACTTCCCACCACCTGTTACATTTGTTCGTCGCGTCCAATTCTTACGTTTCTCGCCACAAGGTTACCCACTAACTGTTACATCCGGTGGTGGCCTCCAATTCTTACGCTTCAAAGTACATAGCTATCTGCTGCCACCTACTGATATGAAAAAGTATTACGTGGTTACTCCATGGTTCAAAACAAGTCAGCACTCGCCAACAGTGGATGCATTTATTTTTAGACAAAGTAGGTGAATTTCTCACGGCGCATCAGACAATATCATACGGCACACTAGTGTGCCGCGGCACAGTGGTTGAAAAACACAGCTGTAGTCCCCTATTTTATCTGCTCTACTGCTAAACATTATTATCTCAAGAACTGAATGCATTTGATCTGACCACATTGTTTCTAGAATATCTATATCTCAAGCATGAGTCATTTATATCTCAAGTGATGACATCCCTGCTCTTATACACCCATCCATCCATCCATTTTCTTCCCCTTAATTAATTTCTGGGTTGGGGGGGTGGCAGTCAGAGCTGCACCCAGTACACAGAGCACCAGCCCCTCACTGATCCTCCTGCAGGTGGTGAGTCCACAGGAGCTAAGATCTTTCAGTGGAGGCTTCGAGCAAAGTGGGGTTGAGTGTCTTGCCCAAGGACACAACGACAGCAGTCATCAGTGGGAGTCGTGAAGTAGGTCTTATGGTGGGCTTGAACCCACGACCTTCAGGCTCAAAGGCCAATGCTCTACCAACTGAGCCACTGTCGCCCCCCTGCTCTTATACACATTGGCAAAAATCAGATCAAAAACCCTTGTCTCCTTTTCTTCTACCTGGTGGGACTCAAATAAACCGCAGTACAGGTGCAATTGCTGCTGCCTTGTCTTAATTTCTTGAATCAGAATCATTTTTATTGCCACGTAAGTAACAAACAAAAGTTACCACTTGGAAATTGTTTTGGCAGAGAGCGTGCCACGTAGCCATTTGCGGCGCTGTGTACAAGCAAGAAACAGCAGAGAGCAATAACATACAGTTTCACAGACAATTGGATAGACAAATTGTGCTTTGTATAAACCACGGATTTTTTTCTCGGGATGAGCACCTCCGACTGCCGGCCCAATGTGGCTGTCAGAGGGGGGCAGGGTCAGGGAGGGGGTGAGCCGGAAAGACAATGAGGAGTGGAGGGGTGGGAAGGAGCAAGATGGATAGGTAGAGGGAGGCGGGGGGAGCGGGATCCGTGCTGGAGACTGCAGATTGTTGTAGATTGTAGTGGACCATGTTCTCTTCGGCCTTGCCAGAGGAATGTGAGATAAGAGTGGAGAGAAGACACAGCAATGGAGAACAACACATCGCCTGAGAGGGACAATATTATATGCAATGTAGCAGTCAAAAGCAGGCAGACATTCTATTGAATCCATCCATCCATCCATTTTCTTCCGCTTCATCCGTTGCCGGGTCGCGGGGGCAGCAGTCTAAGCAGAGACGCCCAGACTTCCCTATCCACACACACTTCCTCCAGCTCGTCCGGGGGGACTCCAAGGCGTTCCCAAGCCAGCTGAGAGACATAGTCCCTCCAGCGTGTCCTGGGTCTTCCCCGGGGCCTCCTCCCGGTGGGACGTGCCCGGAACACCTCCCCAGGGAGGCGTCCAGGAGGCATCCGGAACAGATGCCCGAGCCACTGTTGTATCTTCTTCTCCGCAGAAGATGGGGTTTCACGCACAAACCAGTATAGTGTTGGAGAAGGAATGCACTCTGAGTTATGTATTAAAGAAAGTTTAATGGCATAATCAGAATACATCAGCGCTTTCAGCCTGGGTCAGCTCCGAGAATGAGGATGGCATGACTGACAAAGAACACATTAAGCACAGAGCTCTTATAGATGCGCAAGGGCAGGATGTCATAAATACTTGTCATTCAATAATCTTATAGACTAGTCCTGGTTAACTCGGTATCTGAGTCTTTCTTCCCTGAGGATCTCAGGGATCTTATTTACTGCAAATGGTAAATAAATCGAATCTATAGACTATTATTGTCCCTCCAGATGTCCTAAGACACAATTATAACCAAACATGCATCCACAGGACATACATGTGCAGTCTCATGCATCCACAAGACATACATGTGCAGTCTAATGGCACAGACGCTGCCGAGATGCAGCTGCGGGTTCTATTGTCTCCAACGTCACATTGGCCTTATGATTTAGACAAGTGACTTCCTGCCATTGCGTGCTCACATTATCCCAAAACACAATTTTACACATATGAAGATACATACATACTTTATGTTTATGTAGAATTAAAGAATATTAATAATAGCAGACACAACACCACCTCAATTGCCTGGCCTGCCAAACGATATGCTTTTTCAAAGACATATAGTCTGGGAACGAGCT